CTTCCAGTTATCAACACATTACTATCAAAATCTATAATGCTATTGGTATGCAGGATATTTGCATTACTGTCGTTTATGCTAAATGCAAATCCAGAGACAGGAGGGACCTATGGCAGTCTCTTGAACAGGACAATATGGTGATTGATGTTCCTTGGTGCATAGGGGGGATTTCAATATTATAATGGATCCTATTGAAAAACTTGGGGGTAAGCCTCACAGAATGTATAGAAGCTTGGAGTTCCAAACTTGTATCAACAACTGTGGTCTCATTGATATTGGTTATAATGGTTCTAATTACACTTGGTGTAATAATAGAAGACTTGCAAAGAGGATTTGGAAAAGATTAGACAGAATTTTTGTTAATGACCTCTGGGATAAACTGTTTCAAAGATGTTCTGTTAGGCATCTTGCAAGGACAGGTTCAGATCACAGACCTCTTCTTATGAAGAACTTGGTTGGTAATCAACAGCATATTAATTATTTTAGATTTCTGAATTGTTGGGTAAACATAGAGGCTTTCATGACATTGTCAAGGAGGCCTGGAATACAGAAGTGTCTGGGAATCCTATGTGGATTCTTCAAAACAAGCTCAAGACTCATAGTAAAAGGCTCTCTCAAAGGTATAGGAATGAAATTGGGGATATCAATGAAGTTGTTATCAATTGGGAGGACAAACTCCAAGAGTTAGAGGACATAGATATTGAAAATAATTCGGAAAAAGTAGAGAAGATATCAACAAGGCTCATGCTCAATATGTTAGATGGCTCAGTCTTCAAGAATCCATGCTCAGTCAAAAATTTCAGTTACAATGGTTCGAAGAAGGGGAAAAGAATACCAGATACTTTCACTCTATCCTCAGAGAGAAAAAAGAAGGCAACAGATCAATCGCATCAAAAACAGTAAAGGAAAATGGATCAAGGGAGATGAGAAGATAGCCAAGAAAGTTGTTAGGCACTTTCAAACAATCCTCAACCTTACTCCTCCTACGATCAACAATTCTATTCTGGATTGTATTCCTCATTGTATCTCAAGTGAGGACAACAACATGCTCAGCTAAACTCCAGAGGACAATGAAATCAAGGATGCAGTTTTTAGCCTTAGCCCTCACAGCACTGCAGGACCAGATGGCTTCAATGGCACATTCTTTCAGAATTGCTGGGACATAATCAAAAGGGAAGTCATTGCTTTTGTGAAAGAGTTCTTCAAAGGAAAATGTTTGACCAAATTCTACTCTCATACTTGTCTAGTTTTAATTCCTAAAATTGACAATCCTGCTACTTTTGCTGACTTTAGACCTATTAGTTTATCTAATTTTACTAATAAGATTATTTCAAAAATTATTTCTCTTAGAGTAAACACCTTGTTGCCTAAATTAGTCTCCTTGAATCAAAGTGGCTTTATTAAAGATAGGCTAATTTCTGAGAATGTTCTGTTATCCCAAGAAATTGTTCACAATATTACTCATAAAAATAATGGTGAAAATGTTGTTATTAAACTTGACATGGCTAAGGCTTAAGATAGAATGGTTTGGGATTTTATCTATGCTGTCCTTACGAAATTTGGCTTTTCAGAAAATTGGATTGGTTTGGTTCATAATCTCATCTCTAATGTGTGGTACTCTGTTATAATAAATGGAATGAGACATGGCTTCTTCTCTTCTTCTCAAGGGCTTAAGCAAGGAGATCCTCTCTCCCCAACTCTCTTCATAATTGTTGTTGAGGTCTTATCAAGATCTCTTAACTCTCTCCATAGAAATCTTAATTTCATTCCTTTCTCTATGTCTCCTAATGTTCCCGGGATCAACCACCTATCTTATGCTGATGACATTTTTATATTCTGTAGTGGTGGATCTATTCTATTAAATTGGTCATGAAGATTATTAGTAGTTATGAAAGAAGCTCAGGTCAACTGGTTAATAGGGATAAAAGCTATTTCTTGACTGCTCCTAATACTGCTGCAACTAGAATTAACAGGATTAGAAAGTGTTCTGCCTTTATGGACAAGACCTTTCCTTTTACTTCCTAGGATGTCCCCTGTATGTGGGAAGAAAAAGAGTTTTTTGATAACATGATTAGTAAGATTGTTAAAAGGCTAAATGGCTGGCAAGGCAAGCTGCTCTCTCATGGTGGTAAGGCTACTTTGATTAAAAGTGTCCTCCAATCTATCCCTGTCTACACTTTCTCTGCTATGACTCCCCCTAAAGGAGTTTTTAGACTAATTGAGAAACATTTTTCTAATTTTTTCTGGGGTACCTCAGAGGATCACAAGAGGTATCATTGGAGTTCCTGGAACCATCTTACCCTCCCTATTGATGAAGGAGGCATAGGTCTTAGGAAATTGGAAGATATTAGTAATATGTTAGCTATGAAAAGGTGGTGGAGGATAAGATCCACATCATCTCTTTGGGCTAGATTCATTAGTAACAAATACTGTGTGAGATCCCACTTAGTCTTAAAAAAATTGGCTCCAGATAATACTCATGCTTGGAATTATGTTCTCAAAATTAGGAATATTGCAAAGAATCATATTGTTTGGCAGGTAAATTCAGGATCAAGTAGCTTCTGGTGGGATAATTGATCTCTTAAGGGACCTTTGGCTATGCTGGTTCCTGATACTCCAAAGAGTGCCAAAATCTTGGTTGGAGAGTTCATATCTGATGGTCAATGGAACATCAACAAACTTAAGGAATTCTTAACAGATTATTTGGTACACCACATCCAAAACATTTCTATAGGCAATCAATCCAAGGAGGATCAAGTTTTCTGGGAAATTTCAGAAAATGGCAAGTTCACAAACAAAAGTGCATGGAGTTTGGTAAGGAAAGCTAGTCCAAAAGTGCAATTCATCAACAAGGTATGGAACTCTACTATCCCTTTTTAAAATGTCTTTCCTGGCTTGGAGGCTCTGGTATGGTAAACTTCCTTTTGATGATGTGATTATTAATTTTGGCAGACAAATTATTTCCAGATGCAACTGTTGCAAAAGTCCAACTACAAATAACATAAACCATGTATTTGTAGAGGGTCAAGCTGCTAGTTACACTTGAAAACTTTTTGGAAAAGCTCTTGGCATAGAATACCACCCCTAGCCGATTAGATATATGCTTAATAAATTGTGGGCTTCTAAGGCTACCAATGATGTCCACAGACTTGTTTTAAATATTACACCCATCATTATCTACTGGTTTCTTTGGAAAGAATTTTGTGCGTGCAGGTATGGAGATCAAAAAAGCTTCAACATTTATAAATTGCATCAACAAATAGCTTGGAGTATTGAGACTGCAACCAACAAAGCTGTTCCAAAATGTAATCGTAAACTTCCATGGAACAGCTTCTGTGACCTCTTAACAAGGCTTCATCCTGTGCATAAAAGCATGGTCGTTCTCTGGAAAAAGCCGGATAGGGAATAGGTCAAGATAAACACTGATGGGAGTTTTCTACAAGGGGATGAAAAATCAGGGCTAGGAGGAGTCATCAGAGATGACCAGGGGATACTATCATGGCTTTCTCGATTCTATACAATGCTGAAAACCACAACATCGCAGAGGCTCAAGCAGCTTGGATTGGTACTAACTGGTGCATACAAAATGGCTTCACTCAAGCCACTTTTGAATTGGACTCTCTCTACATTATAGAGATCCTCCGTAAAGAAAGCGCAACCAACTACAAGCTTAGTCAAATAATCAACAAGATCAGAGAGGCTATCAACACCTTCAATATTCAGATTAGCTATTGCTATAGAGAGGCCAATCAAGTAGCGACTGCTTGGCTAAAGTGGCAGTTAACACTCAACTAACCAACAGCTGCCTAGTCAAGCAAAAGCCCTTTTTTGTTGGACAAAGATCAAGTTCCTTCCATAAGGAACAGATATGACAAGGCCAATTTTTTTGTTAGCTAGCTTTGTAATCTTTGTGAGGGGGCGAACTATTTATAATCGCCTATGCCTCAATTTCTTTTGAAGGGTTGTCTCTACCCTTGTGTTGTATCATCAAACTCTATTTTTGCTAATACAACACCCCCAAGAAACCTGGGAAAAGTTCATAATAAAAACAAATATAGAGAAAAGGGATTTGCAACTGCTATGATTTCTATCAAGAAAATTGCACTTGAAATGAATATCGAACCTGAATTACGTGAGAAACGTGTGATATATAAGAAGTAACAATTTGATGCGAACGTTGATAATGAAATCTCAAAAGTCAAAATCTTTTGAAGAGTCCTTTAGAGTTGATTACTTTTATACACAATAGACAAGGCTAGTTTTTCACTTCAAAATAAATTTTGAACAATTTGAAGCATATGACAGTAAAAACTAAGATCACTAGATGTTGAAAATTTGAAAAAATATTGCGTTAATCTTGATTCTTGAAATCCTTAAAGCATAACAATCAATTCGATATTGATGGTTTAGATTTATTTTTTGAATTTAAAGTATTAAAAAAATAATACAATTAGAAGATAACAGTTTAATCGATACACTTAATCAAATAAAAGATTTAATTTTTTTCCGAATGCCTAAATTGCTTATGGAATAATGTTCATAACTCATGTTACCGTTGTTTCGGCAGAAAGAAGTTTTTAAAATTAAAATTGATAAAATCTTACCTAAGAATAACAATGTCACAAGAAAGGTTAAGTGGATTAGCTATATTGCCAATTGAGAAATACTTATTAGGAGTTATTGATTATAAGATAGACTTCAAATAAATAACAAAAAAAAAAAAATTAAAAAATCAAGGCCCCTCGTAAAGTTTGGCTTTAGGCCACAAAATTTGCCAGGCCGCCCCTGGTCATTGTTCTAACATAATACATGTGCTAACATGTGCTAACATAATAGAATTTGAATCCACTAAATCAAATGGTTTGAGGTGAATATGAACACGAACCAATAACATTCAAATTCTGAAGCGGCCTCTAACTACAACTAACATAGTTGTGTCACATTAGTACAGTAAAAAAAGTCAATGTCAATTCGGTCATGAGACTCTTTTTTATATTTTATCAAGGAGATCTGGGATGTGGAAAGAATTGCGTACCAGCTGACATGAATGTACTAAGGGGAGCTGGAAATAAAGAAGGGTCAAGAAAATTTGAGGCCTCCGCTGCCGCTGCCGCTGCCGCTGCCGCTGCCGCTGTAGCACCGCCGCTTGCGATGATGGCGGTGGCAGCGGAGTTATGGTGGTGTGGAACTCCAGCACTACCACTTCCACCACCAGAAGAAGTATCACCGGCGGCAGCCATATTATTATTATACTCACTTTCAGGACCTTGATCATATAGAATTCCTTTGAACACATGGCCCCCAATATTCACAGCCGCCTGGTATGCTAACTGATCCGCAGCATCCTCAATTGAGCTCATTTGGATGCACTGAAATACAGCAGCTGAACTTACTTTTGCTGGAAAATTTCCCACTTCTAACCCTATAAACTCAAACAAGCTACATTTAAATTATATATGTTCCACGTAAAAAATATTTACAAAAGTAGATCATTGAAACAATCATCACAAGTAAAAATGCCTTATGGCCAGCATTAATCAATAGTAACTTGATAAAAATAGTACAACATGCATGTACAACTCATATAAAGGGGATTTAAAAGTATCACACCTAAGATTTGAATTTGTGACCAAAAATAATTTTTAAACCCTCTTTGCCACTGCACCAACAATTTTTCATATGTCTCGAGAATTCAACAGCTTTTATATATATATATATATATATATATATATATATATATATATATATATATATATATATATATATATATATATAATTTTTGCCGATTTACACGGTATGATTTTCAATGAAGGGGTTTCAATCCAGGGGCGGAGCTACCATGCACGCTACGGGTTCGGCGAACCCAGTAACTTTAGTCTGCATCTTGTATTTGTTCAAAGAAATTCATTAAAAATGTATAAATTATTAATTTAGAACCCAATAACTTAAAAAAGCAAAAACCTTGAACCCCTTAGCTTCAAATCCTAGCTCCGCCTCTGTTCCAATCCCCTTTCTTCAAGCTAGCTCTACCACTGAATGTAACATACTAGTATATACTAATATTAATCAACAATGGATACAGCGAATTATCATACATAAATTGGAGGGCTCGAGATAAATTTATGTAGGTCTAGAGAAAAGAGAGTGTGCATACATAGATACCAATGCAACGAGAGAGAAACGGGAAGAATGGAGATATATAATAGCCTATTCTTTGTCAATCTTATGTCAGGAAAACTCCAAAAAAAAATGTGATGAGAAAAGAATGACAACGAGCTATAAGAAGGAAAAGCTGACGATTTTACTACTGCTACAATAGTAGCGTTTCTCTTGACTTTCATCAAATGCTATGGTTATGGGCTTCTCTTTCTAGACCTACTTTATGTTGAATTCTTTTAGGCAAGCAACCTTAGCTCCTTTACATGATGAATCTCGAGATTCTATGTTTTTTCTGTGTACAAACAAAGGAAGAAAGATACTCCCTCAATTCGAATTCATAGGAACTTGTTTGACTGGACACAAAATTTACGAAGAAAAGATAAGCCTAAAATATGTACGTTATAAAATTTCTGTGATATAAATCTATCTCATTAGCAAAATTTAGAAATATAAAGTTAAAAAAGAGGGAATAGGAATTTTACCATTAGTATTTGAAGGCAAACGAGTACAAACAAGAGAGGAAGCACTTGGATCCTCTCTTTGCCTTTTGGACTTATTATTATTGTTATGATCCAAGTGTAACTGATCATGTCGTTCCTGTCGCTGCTGCTGCAGAGCAGAAAGTTGTTGTTGCCTTTCTCTACGTTTAGCGGCTGGAACCCAAGTGCTTTTGACATGAGTTTGGCACTGAAACCCTCTACTCTTGCAGCAAGTCCTACATCTCATGTGTTGACAATCTTTCTTAGCTTGGTTCCCACAATCTTGGCAGCTAATTCCACCTCCTCCACTCCTCATCATCACAAACCCTGATCTTGATGCCTCTTGATCGCCTGCGAAAAACGGATGCGGCCTTTCAGAAATGGATTCAACTGAATCTAATATTTTCGACATAAAGTAATGCAGTATATCCTACCAGGTTCAACTTAACCTAATACTTAATTTTTTACGTAGAACAAGTCAAGCTAAAATTTTCAGTAAGGAGTATCAAAATATAAAAAAGTAAATACAAGAAGAATTCAAGGGAATTTAGCGTATAATAATTAAAAAAATCAATCTATCTATATTGTGTAATTTTCCAAAAGAGTAGCTTCGCCATTGGAGCAAGATACAAATATAAAAATATCACTAAAATTTCACAAAAAACCCTAAATTTTTAACCCATAATTGGTAAAGTGCAATGACTCTGTAATGATAGCTAAAATATTGAGCCCCTCAAATTTAAATTATAGATCTACCTCTACGTGGAATATAAGTTTACATAAGAATAATATAATTTTAAAGAATATTAAATTTGTAACACAATTTTGAAGTATGGTTATTTTAAAAATTGAATATTCCCAAGTTTAAATTTTGAATCCGCATCTGATCATCTGACCTGCAAATATGTCAAAGCCACTTTGGCTGGGCCCGACACCTAATCCAACAGCAGTGGAATAAAGATCTTGCAAAGGATAAATTGGGTGACGGAATTGGTGTTGTTGTTGTTGTTGTTGTTCGGGTTGATGCTGAGGAGTTGTACTTTGCCATAACTCGAAGCCTTTGTAAGTGGGCATTTCTTGATTATGATCATTTCTGTACAAGAACCAACTCTCTGCGCTGATTTCTTGTTGTTGATTTTGGCTGCTACTTCCTCCTCCGTCTAGTGAAAAAAAATTAGCCATTTTGCCACCAGCTTTAATCCTTTAATTGCGACTCATGACAATTCATAGCAGAAATGCACGATCACTGGCAGCTTAATTATAACCCAATAATGATGTTTGTACCCTTTAGATTTCTGTGGGATTTTCTTCTTTAGAAAATGTCTTTATAAAATTAGAAATGAAAAAGTACACTTCTTTTCTGTACTGCTACATATGAGCGTGTGAAAGTGATGAATAAATTTAGAGGCTGGAAAATAAAAAGGAGTATTTAGTAGCTGCAACTTTTGTGAAGATAATTAAAAAGGTGCAGCTCTTTTTAATTTCTTGGAGAGACAAAGTATTGAAGATTTTTGAGGATAGAGATTAATCGAAGAGGAAATGAGGGAGGGATCTTTACTTTCCTTATGTTTCTATGTTGTGGCTTGTGTTGGAAACATTAAAATAAAGGTAGAATTATATATATTGCAGCTCTGCAAACGCCGCCATGGCCAAAAATAAAACTTCATAAGTCCTCTCTCTACTACTACGGTGACGCTAAATCAAGTCTTACATGCAACAATTAATGCAAAAATTATAATATAAGAATTAAATTAATAATGTAAGAATTAGCAAAACAAAAAATATAATGTAAAAATTAGTAATGCAATAATTATAGAGTGTGAATTATTTTGCGTTTGATATTTTCAAGGTAAACAAAGAAATAAATTTAAAGAATGCGAGAGTATTTTTGTTATTTTTTTCTTTTATCCATATATTACTAATTCGATATTCTTATTTCACATAAGGTATTATTTTCTGCGGGAAACAAAAGGTATAACCAAATTGTTTTATATATGTGAGCTCGGTGAATTTGAGCTTAATCTCCAGATTCACACAAGCAATTGAGATTGGATCTGAGATAGGGAAGATGAACTCGAGAGAGAAGAAGGTATTGGTAGTTCAGAGAAAATGAAATCGTATTATGTAAAATGGAAATGATATACATTATATACATGTATTAGCTTAGCCCCCCACCACTTAACTACTGGGCCCCACATATAACCAACTAACTAATCTGCTGACTAACTATGCTAGCATACAGACTACAGACTACCTACAATTAACACTAACTACAATCAGCTCTAACTGTATAGTAGTTCACACTCCCTCTCAAGCTGGAGGGTGCAAAATATTGAGCACTCCAAGCTTGCCTAGTAAAAATGCATGTTGTGATTGTCCAAGGCTTTTGGTAAGAAGATCAGCTAGCTGATCTTTAGTCCCCACAAACTGCGTGCGAAGCACTCCTTGTTTAATCTTGTCGCGTACAAAATGACAATCGATTTCAATATGTTTGGTACGTTCATAAAAGATAGGATTAGCTGCAATCTGAAGAGCAGCTTTGCTATCACAATAGACTTCTACAGGCTGCTTGATGGGCACTCCAAGTTCAGCAAACAGTCCCAATAACCAAACTACTTCTGCTGTCACAGCTGCTAGGCTTCGATACTGCAAAGCTTCTTGACATTGTATGTTGCTTCTTGGACTTCCATGAGATAAGTGAATTGCCAAATTTGACTAAGTATCCAGTTATAGGCCTCCTTGTATTTGGACAACTCGCCCAATCTGCATCACAAAAACATGTTAAGCAATCTGCATCAGTACTTGATCACGCCCAACTATGCCTTATAAAAAGGACTAAGCGTTCGTTGCAAATATAATCCGATTTACAAGTCCGGAGTCAAATCCCACAGAGAACTAAGGCTTAGCTACAATTGTTCAGTATTGCTAAGAAAACAAGCTCGAACAATTCCTAAGTTATAAATATTAAGATTCTTATATCTAATAAACTAAATTATTAAATTAGTAGGTTAACAACTAAAGATACTACGAGTTGGAGAAAAGATTAAGGAGGTCTAGAGTTATGATTTCCCCAATTGTCGGAATCCTTCCCGCTATGTCTTCTATAATTTCGCCTAAGTATTCTCTACCGATCATGAGCGCTCTGCGTGTTGTAATTCTCTCCCGAGTAATTACGACAATTTACTAGACATACTGTCCCGAGTTACGCTAGCTGGCTTTAATTACAGCTCACTTAGATCGCACCCAAGGTTTCGTTATCCCTAATCCCACTTTTAAACCCTTGGTTATTGATTTCTCACATACCTCGGGAGTGATGTTGTTCAACAACTACCTAAATATGCACTCTCTCCCGAGTAATACATACTAAATAGGCACAACTAATTGAGGGCCTTCAATCAACCACAAGAATAATATAGTTGAACAAATAGAGAAAATACTACGGCTCAATTATATAAAAACATAACAAGAATTTATCCTACAAAAGGTTCCATCAAAACCCTAGATAACAAATTAGATATTCATAATATATGCATAACATACATATACTAGAATTCATAACCAATAATGAAAATAGGAAGAAGGAAGTGAAAAACTCGTAGAAGAATTCTCCGCCTTGCTCCTAGTGTGTTCTTGCCTCCTTAGGTCAAATCTCCGACCTCCACGACGGCTCTGTGCTCTTCCTAGGTCTAAAGTGTGTCCAGAGTCCACAAAATAACGTTTTTACATGTATTGTATACCAAGTAGGGTCGGGCCCAGACGAACACCCTTCCTGCGCGAATTAGGACTTAGCTCTGCGAATTTTGTACAGCCCGCGCTGCACGCTGCGTCGCACAGAGCGGGCGCGTAGTGGGAAACTTCAGAGACTTGATTTCTGACGCCTGTTGTGAATTTTGCACTATTGCGGTGCACAGTGCGGCGCAGTAGTGCAAATTTCTCAGAGTGAAATTTTTCTCTTCTTTTGACATCAAGACTTGGTACACGATCTCCGAACACGATCCCGGCTTAATGCATTGGGCTTTACTCAGACTTCAGACTCCAAATTGATCGATTTAGCTCCAAATTAACTTTTGAACTCGGGATGACTTCCGCAAGGCATAAGAACACGTACTAAGTGTAATTCAATATCATTTGAGCTTAAGCACACGTAGAAATGCAGTAATTGGAATGTAATACTACGGCTAAAACATGAGTTTCTAGCCTCACATCAACACCCCACACTTACCATTGCTCGTCCTCGAGCATCACAAACTACACTTTATATAGACACGACCTTTTTTTAAACAATTCTCCTAACTCTCACACCAAGATTATAATTAAACTAAACACAAAAGCGTAACATCTTCACCTCAAGATTTGACTCACAAGTACACACATTATTCACAACTCACCCACTTACTATAACATAGAGGTCACTGGCATTTTCTTTCCTTCATGAATCAAGTGCGATCGATATTAGGCAAAGGAAAAGAATCTTTGGGGCATGCTTTATTTAGGTCTTTGTAATCTACACACATTCTAAGTTTGTTTCCCTTCTTAGGGACTACTACTACATGTGCTAACTTCGGGATATTTTACTTCCCGGATGGACCCTATTTTGAGAAGTTTGGTTACCTCGTCTTTGAGGAAAGCGTGTTTGACTTCGAATTGGTCCTTCTTTTTTGCTTCACGGGACGGAATTTCGGGTCCAAGCTTAGTTTATGGTGGTAAATCTCTGGTGGATCCTGTCATATCGAGATGGGACAAATCAAAGCAATCCACACACAACAAAAGAGAGTAGTTCCACACAATAAAATTTAAGAACACTTAGGAACTCAAGATAGAAAGAATTCACTCACTCTCAGAAATAATATTCATTCCACAAAAGAGAACCATAGGCTTGCCCCGTAGTGTACTACTCTACTAATCGAGCTCATTCAGTCTAGGATCAAGTAGGACTTTATTTGGTTGTAATGTAGGCTGCGGGACGGGTAGGATACATTTAGATATAAGAGTGATACACCTCCCTAAGCACTTTAAAACATATACTTTAACATTCAAACCACATACTTATGTCAAACCAGACTCAACCTTCACCTCAATGTATATTACCCCATACTTCTTTAAGCACAATTACATAAAGAGTCACCACTTATCAAGGAATACTTTTTTTTTTCACAGCAATACAACTATTTTTTTTCCAATTCAAGTGGCTCTTACTTGTTCGAAACAGTGCTCCTTTCTCCTTATTTCATTAGTTCCACTCAAAAGCCAAACCAGCCACCCCACACTTTAACTTTTACACAATTCATAAACAATTCAAGTGCTCATGAGAGGTTACAATGGTTCAAATAGATGGTTAATTCAAACAAATGGGTAAGGCTTGTAATGTGGTTGCCAAAGAAACAGGATTACAGGCTCAAAGGGGTTAACTACGATACATAACAATTAGGCGAGTAAAATATACATATCTGGTTCAACAAAGAAACGCCTATATCACTTCCAAGACTGAACAAAATTACTATTTCGCTTTGCAAACACACGGGGTAAGTTCTAGACATCAAATGCAATGCACAGAATAATACACAAACCTCACACCACATGACACATAACTCATTCAGGATTGGATTCATCAAGACACTCTAGTCAAAGCAGTTAAGCAAATTTATGATCATACGATTTAAGGTACTTCTATGAGAGTCAAAAACTGAGCCTAAGCGTCACAACCAAAGTACTCGCTATTCTCAAGGCATAACAAAGTCAAGGATATCGCTGCAATTCAATTCATCTCACACTAGCTCCTACTCCTAAAAAAATTAAACTAACTACACCCGGTTCAAACAAAACTCTTGGAAAAGAACCGCGACACAAAGAAAAACCAATGGGGAATTACTACACTACCTACACAAAAATCTTTTTTTTTCTTTAGACTTAAATCCCTCAAGAAAATTTTCTAGGATATCCATCGTCGGGAAAAGTCCAATCTTTTTTTTTCGTTTTCCTAAAAAATAAAAAAAAACTATTCAATTAAACTAACACAACTAAAATAGCATAGAAAGTCACCCAGACAATCTCCTCGCCCCACACTTAAAATTGTGCATTATCCCCAATGCACACCATACTAATAAGAGGGTAAAAGAAACTCCCTAGTAAGCCAAAGGCCGAAGCACTAGCAGCTTATGGGGTACTCAGACTTCTCCCAGGCT